CTTAGTTTTCTTAGGGTTCTACTTCGATCATCCTCAACACGTTCCTAGCAAACCAACTTGTTCCTATTCCATCACCATTTAACCGAGGATCTGCCTAAGGAAACAGAAAGTGATAGTAAAACTCGAAAAAATTGGCTCATGGAAGATGATAAGCTCTTCAATCAGATTTAGAACACTCTCGATTCATTCGTGGATGATGTGACTAGTCATTGTGATACCGTTAAAGAGTTATGGGAGTATCTAGAGTTCTTGTATGCTGGTAAACAAGACTTGTCTCATGCCCATGAATTGTTATTGAAGATCTACGAGGCAAATATGCAAGAGAAGACGTTGCTCGAATATTATACAGAGATAAAACAAACTTTTGAAGAAAAAAGGGCTATGTTTTATGTCCATACTGATGTGAAGATGATGCAAGCACAAGAAGAACAAAATGATGCAAGCACAAGAAGAACAAGTGGTAGTGCAATGTTTTCTGGCTGGGTTGAGACCAGAATACGAGATATCTCGTACACAGCTTCTTACCAGTGAGACACTTCCCTCTCTTACAGATGTCTTTGCTCGACTTCTCAGAGTTAGTAAGGGAGAAGATTGAGGAGTTTCTAAGGACAAAGAAATCCTTAAGGATCCTAATGTAGATCATGCAGCCTAGCTCGCATGAAGCCTAGTGATGGCAAAGGCAACAAAGGGGCAAGTCGTGATATTGGGAACAATCATGGTAATGGCCCTCGTACTTGCTATCATTGTGGTGCTAAGGGTCATGTAAAGAAGAATTGTTGGAATCTCCATGGGAAGCCCCTGAATATGCAAGACACTCAGAAGTTTGCTCATGTTGCAACTTAAGATGGTCTCTTACCAACCCCATCACAGGTTACTATCTCTGCAGTTAAATATGCTTGCCTCACTCAGCATTCTAGCTCCCTCACTTAGCATTCTAGCTCTCAGTCATCCATCCCATCGACTACCACTACATTAACCCAGTTAAGTAATCCTACAGCCTGTTTGTCCACTTCTAGTAGTAATTGGATCATTAATTTTGGTGCAGGCGATATAGGTATTCTCTCCTCATTTTCACCTTCTTCCGATTTGTCTTCTATTACCTTAGCTAACAGGTCTACTGCACCTATTATTGGATGTGGTACCGCTCATCTCACCAAATCTATGTCTTTCTTCTCTGTTTTGTGCCTTCCTTATTTTCCCTTTAGCCTATTATCTGTTAGTCAAATTACTAATGCATTCAACTGTGGTGTTTATTTTTTTCCTACTCATTGTATATTTCAGGATCTTGGGACGAGACAGATTATTGGTAGGGGTCGTGTATCAGGTGGCTTGTATATGCTCGATGATGTCTCCACTCCAATCCCTCAACCTGTTGCGTGTACCAGTGATTTATCTTTATCCATATTACATGGTCGCCTTGGTCATCCTACCCTTCCCATTTTGAAAAAGTTGTGTCCTAGTGTAGGGTCAACGTCACACCTTGAGTGTGAGGCGTGTCAGTTTGGAAAACACTATCGAGTGTCCTATAGCCCTAGGATAAACAAAAGAGTCATAGCCCCTTTTGATGTTATACACTCTGATGTTTGGGGTCCTTGCCCTATGTTGTCTAAGTCTGGATATCAATACTTTTGTTGTTTTTGTGATGATTTTTCACGTGTGACTTGGTTATACTTTATGAAAAATCGTTCTGAATTATTCTTCATATTTTGTACCTTTTATGCTGAAACACAAAATCAATTTTCTTCATCTATTAAAATTTTCTGAAGTGATAATGCCAAAGAATACTTTTCTGCACGTTTCTCCTCCTTTTTGTGTACTAGAGGTATTATTCATCAATCATCATGTGTATATACACCTCAACAAAATGGGGTTACTGAACGCAAAAATCGTCATTTATTAGAAGTTGCTCGTACTCTCTTCTTTCACATGAAAGTCTTTACAAAATTTCGGGCATATGCTGTCTCTACTGCATGTCACTTGATCAATCACATGCCTTCCTCTATTTTGGGTAGTCAAATCCCATATTCCATCATTTTTCCATCTCAACCTTTATTCTCTCCTCCTCCTAAAGTGTTTGGGTGCACGTGCTTTGTTGAAGATGTTAGACCCCATGTCTTCAAATTAGAACCTAGATCTCTCAATTGCATATTCTTGGGTTATTCCCGATATCAGAAGGGTTATCGTTGCTTTTCTCCTGTCCTAGGTAAGTACCTTGTCTCAACTAATATATCCTTTTTTGAAACCATTCCGTATGTTGAGTCCTCCATTCCATCTACCTCTCTTGAAGCACCTTTTGATGATTTTCTTGTTTATAACATTACCCATCATAGTCCTCTACCATCTGGTCTTTCTATCACCCAGGTATACTCTCACAAGGTTCACTAGCACCATGAGGCACATGCATCAACATCTGATCCACTACCTCTATTGACTGCCTCGCCCTCAGATCCGGTTCTTCCTACTTCTGACCCTGATCTTTCTATTGCTCTTCGTAAAGGTAAGCGCTCTTGTACCTATCCTATCTCCTCATTTATTTCCTATCCCTCTTTGTCTTTGTCTTCCAAGTCTTTTATTGCCTCTTTAGACTCTGTGTCTGAAGCAATTACTCATGATGGGTAGTGAAGGGCTATGGAAGAAGAGATGTTGGCTCTGGAGCATAATGATACATGGGTTTTAATGGATTTACCTTAAAACAAAAAGGCCATTGGGTGTAAATGGGCTTTCACAGTGAAGGCTAATCTTGATGGGTCTGTGGCTCTATTGAAAGCTCGGTTGGTTGCTAAGGGTTATGCCCAGATGTATGGTATTGATTACTCTGAGACATTTTCCCCAGTGGCTAAAATGACCTTTGCCCGGCTATTCATCTCACTTGATGCTTCATATAGTTGGCCTCTTCACCAATTTGACGTAAAAAATGTCTTTTTACATGGTGATCTTCTTGAAAAGGTTTACATGGAGCAACCTCCGGGGAGTCAGGAAAGGTATACAAACTGAGGAAATCTTTATATGGCTTAAAACAATCTCCACGGGCTTGGTTTGGAAGGTTTAGCGAAGTGGTGACTCAGTTTGGTTTACATAAGAGTGCTTATGATCATTGTGTCTTTTATAAGCAATCTAGTTTTGGCATCATTCTTTTGGTTGTTTATGTTGATGACATTGTAATTACTGGCAGTGATGATATTGGCATTCAGGGTTTGAAAAACTTTTTGGCTTCCAAATTTCACACAAAAGATTTGGGCACTTTAAGGTATTTTCTGGGAGTTGAGGTTTCTCAAAGTAAGAAAGGGATTTTCCTTTTTCAACGCAAGTATGTGTTAGATTTGTTGACCAAAATGGGCCTAATTGAGGCTAAGCCTTGTGACACTCCTATAGTTCCTAATGTGAGATTGAATGCTGATGATGGAGAGATGTTTAATGATCCAGAGAAATACAGACAGATAGTTGGAAAGTTGAACTACCTTACAGTAACCCGTCCAGATATTGCTTTTTCAGTGAGTGTGGTGAGTCAATTTATGTCATCTCCTAGGACATCTCATTAGGATGCGGTCCTTCATATTTTGAAATATCTAAAAGGAGCCCCTGGACGTGGGATTCTTTACAGTGATCACGGTCATAATAAGGTAGAAGGATTTTCAGATGCAGATTGGGCAGGATCCTCTGTGGATAGACAGTCTGTGATTGGGTTTTGTGTTTTTGTTGGAGGAAATCTTATCTCTTGGAAAAGTAAGAAATAACCTGTTGTAGCTAGATCAAGTGCAGAGTCCGAGTATCGAGCTATGACACAAGTTATTTGTGAGCTTATATGGACAAGACATCTTCTTAGAGAAATTGGGTTTGGTGATTCGGGGACTATGGACTTGTGGTGTGACAACCAAGCAGCCATACATATAGCAAACAATCCAGTCTTTCACGAGCGGACTAAGCATATAGAAGTGGATTGTCACTTTGTGTGAGAGAAACTTGAACAAAAGCGAATTATTACTAATCATGTTTGAACAGAGGAACAACTAGCTGACATCTTTACGAAGTCTCTAGTTGGTAAAAGGGTAACCTATATTTGTAACAAGCTGGGCATGATAGATATATATGCTCTAGCTTGAGGGGTTACTTGTGAGCTTATATAGACAAGACATCTTCTTAGAGAAATTGGGTTTGGTGATTCGGGGACTATGGACTTGTGGTGTGACAACCAAGCAGCCATACATATAGTAAACAATCTAGTCTTTCACGAGCGGACTAAGCATATAGAAGTGAATTGTCACTTAGTGCGAGAGAAACTTGAACAAAAGCTAATTATTACTAATCATGTTAGAACAGGAGAACAACTAGTTGACATCTTTACGAAGTCTAGTTGGTAAAAAAGTAACCTATATTTGTAACAAGCTGGGCATGATAGATATATATGATCCAGCTTGAGGGAGAGTGTTGGAAACTATGTATAGATGTAGTCAAGGGTATATATGTAATTGTAGTGTGTATTTATTTGTTAGGTTGTACTGTTGAGAAATATAGAAAAATAGAAATTGAAAAATGCAAATATTTAAAACAATTCCCAAACGTACATAAATGAAGCCTTTAGCTGACCTAAATTAGCTGTAGACAGAACTAAACTTGTTAATGGTTTTACGACAGCTTAGTGAGTAGCAGCAGGTTGAAACTTAATGCTACCCTGTCCAAAGCTTCAAATCTGATTTCATAAAGCAGGGCAAATCTGTTGAATGTGAACTGAGCCCTTGAAAACAAATAAAACTCTTTTCTTTTTTTTTTGTTTTTCATGAAAAGAGACGACTCTTGCGAACCAAAAAATAGGAAACAAAAAGTTATTTATACGCTAGTTGGGCTAGTCAGTATAGTTGCAAGGACTGGGTGGACTAAGATTCATTAGGAATGTCAATTTATTTCCATAGAAATCTCAGGTTTATATGTTGTAGTAGTGGTATCTCACTACATCTGTAACATTAATCTGAAAGGCATTTCACCCCTTTCTTGTTATCAAGCAGGCCTACTACATGATCGAGAGTGGCTTCTTCAAAGTCCAACTGGTGAAATTCTTACTCAGAAAAAGGTGCATTATTTAAGTTTAATTTTGTCCATTCTTTTACTTCATTTTACAAAGGAAGAAGATCACTCATAAGTTATCTGAATCTTTTTTTGAAGGTTCCGGAAATGTGCTTCATTACCACATTTATAGACCTCGATCAACAAATAATGTTTGTAGAATCACCACGTTGCAGAGATAAGTTTTCAATCAATCTAAAACCAGATTCCGATAATGGTGGGAGAGAAGAAATTAATTTGTGTGCTCAGAGGTAATATTAAAACTCAGTTATGGTAACTTTTTGGATAATGCCCACCCTTCTCTCTATTATGTTCTTCATCACAATGCATTTTAGTAAGACTACTGGCTCTAAAAATTGTATGATAATTGTTATTTGTTAATTTTTAGATATGAAGTACATGGTTACACAGATGAAGTCAACTTATGGTTTAGCAAAGCCATTGGTCGTCCTTGCATACTACTCCGTTGTTCTAGCTCCAAGTCTGCTGTGTGTGTGAATAAGAGCAGAAGTGTTGGCATGTGCAGAGATTTGGACAGCAGATTGAATTTTTCTAATGAAGCTCAATTTTTATTGTTATCTGAGGAGAGCATATCGGATCTCAACAGTAGATTAAGCTCGAGTAAGTTCTTCTACACTACTCATTATTGCGATATAAGAATCTAATTGTTGCCCTTCATTATATATGTATCACTTTTCTATAGGTCAGTGAACTTTTACTACTTTCGGCTCTCAGTTTGAAGACAAAAAAGAAAAAGAAAAAGAAAAGAAAATTGTTATTTGTTGATTGAAAATTTGTTGCTTCTGCTTCTTTTTTTCCTGTAAATATGATTTATACATTACAAGTGGATGCAGAAAAAGGTACTCATGGAGCACCGGTTCAAGTCAATTATATGAGATTTCGGCCCAACCTTGTCTTATCTGGAGGTGAACCATATGCTGAAGATAGGTGGAGAAATCTTAAAATTGGAAACAACCATTTTACGGCAAGTTCTTGTTACTTTGAATGGGAACCATATTGGTTTTTTACATTTCGTCGAATAGAATTCCAAGCTTTATCTGATTTCTTACATTGCAATCCAAGCGCAATGATATCAGACAATTTTACCACCACATACTTAAGCTTTTGTCATCACTTAATTTACAATGGGATAGAATGTGTACGCATAATATTGTAGTTTGGCAATCAACACAGAATTTAATTAATTTTTCTTCTAAACGAGCGTAAGGCTGAGCCAATTTCTCATCTCTCTTTATTTTACTTATTTATGCTTCCTTCTGCAGTCCTTAGGTGGATGCAACCGGTGCCAGATGATCAATTTTGTCCATAAAGACGGACAAGTGCAGAAATCAAATGAACCTTTGGCTACGCTAGCATCATATAGGAGAGTGAAGGTAAGTCATATTAATCCTACTCAAAACTTGACGGTAAAAGGATAGTTTTCACTTCCTGAACTGGTAAACAACTTTTCTTTTTTCATATCACAGGGTAAGATTCTATTTGGCATATTGTTGAAATATGATATGGCGGACAAGCTGGACTCAAGTTCATATCTTGAAGTAGGACAAGAAGTACATCCAAATTCAGAGTAGGCTAATACCCATTTGGAAAAAGAAGAGAGACAGTTTTGAGTACCTCAGAAGAATGGGAGATATAGTGAACAGAGACAAAACCAGGAAGCTTTGGTAAAGCTTAACAATGCTTTTCAATACGGTATACTTTTATTTGACTTCCATGAAGAATTTGATCTTTGTATGAACAAACCAACCCAAAATATTATGTAAAGATTAATTTTTCTTGTCTTAGTTCAGGGGCGCAAAGTGTATTATAATTCACTTGTTTTAACTTTTTTGTTGAAAGGTTGTTGATAGTTGCTATGCACTTGTCGATGGGAGATCTCTCTCAATTTCAATGACGGTTTCATTAGATATCTTATACAACTACGATTCATTATTCTTTAATTAAATATTGGATTATTGGACAGGATTAAGCCATATATTCTTGTCTTGTTAATTTTTTTTTCTTCTTAGAAATTTAAACCCTTGTAATAGTAATTGATTAGAGCAAATAATGATTATGAATTGTCGCATGTCTGTGTGCCAACACTTTATTTAATAATAATGATAATATTTAATAAATAAATAAATAATATAAAAGCTAAAATATGTATATATATATAAAAGATAATTACACCCCGGCCACTCCATAATCCCATATGTGACGGCGGGGTTTAGGGTTATTTTTGATAGCCAGGGATTTAGATATAGGATAATTGGATAAACCTCGGAGGGTTTATAACTATTATTCCAGACAAAAATTATTTTACTGTCACAAACACCCTCAAACTAAATCACAAAATTCTATTAGCTAGTATTCAAAGTTACAACTTGCACAGTCCAAACTCGTGAAAAGGCATTGAAGAGTTCAGAGACTTGCTGCTGAAATTTTCAGTTTCCAGCCGTCCATTTACATCTATCGAGCTAACCCACTCTCCATCTATTTTGGGCGGTAGCTCTGAGGTTTGCGGCGGGTGGCCCAGGCAAGGCGAGCGTAGGGAGTGCGACTGATCTGAGCCAGCGTAAGTCACAGCTGTTGGTGGCTAAGCGCAGGTCTTCTCAAAGGAAAATGCGTACTAGAGCGAGCCAGAAGCTAAACGAACGAGACCGAGCGGTGGCTGCAAGCAATAACGGCGATCGTGCATTGCCTTAGGACTTTGCTTTTTCTTTCCTACAGTAGAGGAAAGGTACTTTTCTCAACTAAAAGGAGGAAGGGACCTAAGCTTCTCTTCTGTGTGCGGTCGTGTGTTCTTGGCCGACAGCGGAATGCTCTGGTACGAATTTATGCACGAGACAAAAATGCTTTGTTTTTATTAAAATTTTTACCGAAGAGTTCGGTCACCACGTGTTTGTTATGATGCCTGATAGACCACATATTCTTTCTGGTGAGTTTCTCAGATGAATATATTGTTGAGTTTTGTTTTTAAAGTTCTTAAGAGCTCGTCAATATAGTATTTATTTCATGAGGGTATCCGCTACCAAGTTTTATTCTCACGGGAAATGCATCGAGCGCATTAAGTTCACACGGATTTTTTCAAGTTCAGTTCTTTCCCAGTTGAGACCAATCTCACCAGAAGAATTAAGGGTTGATATTCATAACAAATTCCGAATTTATGGTCAATTTGTTGAGTTCGATACAAGTAAAGTTGTTGAAACATTGCGTTGTCTTAGGAGAGAACCCCATATTGCACTGTCTTATGTTGAACAGTTAAAGAGAAGTGGGTTTAGTCTTGATGTTTATTCCTACGCGGAGATTGTGAGAATGCTATGTTATTTGGGTTGNCTTTCCTTAACAAGGGGATACTATAACTAAAGAGTATTTGCGTCTTATACACTTCATTTGTTCTCCCCTATCGACAGATGAGAGACTTGAAGGGACAGATGCGAGCGGCAAGGGCTTAACTTAAAGATAAAGAAGCGACCAGCTCAAGCGATTGAGAGAGCTCGCCCTTTTCGACAGATTCAAAAAGAAAGAATCCAGATGGAGCATTTTCGACCGAGTGGGACATAAGTTATAACAAATCGAATTGACAAAAGACCTTTGAGACCTCACTCCTTTTTAGGGCTGAGTGCCATCTCATCTCAAAAAGTCAATTTCCTATCTCTCCCCGTCTTTTGAGACGTCACTAATAAAATAGACCAAAAAATGAAAAAATTTCATCTACCCTGGGATTTTTTGAATTCAATTGATTTTCGGAGGGGATTCGACAAATTAAAAAATAGCATCCCCCCGCTTTTTGACGTAACCCCATTTTAGGAATGAGAGGTCTCAACAAATAAGGTTTTTCGCATCTCCCCCGGTAACCCCCTGCTTCGCCACTTTTTATGAGGGAAGTTGAATCTCAAAAATGTATTTTTTGAATAAACACCGTAATTTTGGGCTCGGGGGATGCTTTCAACAAAAATGAAAATTTGAGTTTGGGCTATCCTCCCATTTCCCGAGGGGGCGATCTCAAAAAAATTAGAAATAGGTAACGAAAAGTGATGTCAAAAGAAGGATCGTTTTCTTATACTTTCGAGAAAGTGGAATGCATTTTTCGATAGCGATATCGAAAAAGGAGGGATTAGCTTGATTCATGTGGACCGATGCCCATAGCCCGGGAACAATTAAAAGAAATCGATTCATGTGTCCGGACCAAGCAACGAATAAGCGCTAGCAGATGAGATTGGACCTATAGACTAGGCACCAAAGGAAGAAGCAGGCAAGACACTCTTGTTGGACAATAATGGGTCTCAAAAGCCCATTTAGAGCATTGGAATTGGAACGAACAAAGACCTTTAACTCGCAAGACCGGGGGAAGAAAAAGACTTAGACTTTTCCCGGATAAGAAAGACTGGCGACAAAGACCCAAGACTCGCGACTGACAAAGACCGAGAGAGGGAAGAGACTCGCTACCTTCGATTAACCTGTCGCTACTTCCGACTGCCCCCCTTCTCGACGCCGACTCCCGATTCTAGCCTCAGGAGAAGTGGGGGAAGGAGAGGATCTCACGACATCTATTACGGCATTTACCAAACCAATTGCAATTAAGTCATTCTAACCTACTTTCGGAAAATCATCAGCAATGGATGAGCCGGCAGCATGCAAGCTCAAGGGAAAAAAGCAGGGTTCCAAACCAGCCTTAGAACCAACCTTAGACCGAACCCAGAAGCAACCAGAGGCGAAAGGCCCCTAGTCTATAATCAGTAGGTGTGGTATGCCTATTGTTGGTGATTCCGGAGCTGCAGCAAAGACAAGCTCTGGCCGAAGCACAGGTGAAAACGGAGGACTAAGAGAAAGACTCGGCATTTGTTCCACTATTAGTCGCTCTTTGTACTGGAGATGATAAAGCCCTGGTTGACTGAGAGGAAGTGGAACTGATTGGATTTGATTTTCCTGTTTCAATGAGTGTGCATTGCTTTTCTCCTTCGATAGCTGGATGGAAGAAATCAGACAAGATGCGATGAAGCGAGAAGATTTCATTCAGAATCCCGCAGGACCATTGTGGATTGAATCGAGAATTTCGTTACTCCATGGAATATTTGTGCTACTCCTTTCTCTTTCGGAGTGAATGATGCTGGAAACTTGGACTTTTCAATGGATTGGACCCAATCTCTAATGAACAGGGGACAGCTAATTTGCATACCAGCGCTTTAGGATTAGGATGACCTGACCTGTTTTGAACCATAGGCCCGGCTGCGAAGGTTGAGATTCTTGTTCCGCCTAAGAAAGAGTATAGCGGCGCAAGCTTTGATTGATGAGAGGCGAGCCCCCTCCTAAATAGATATAGCCGGTCGGATTCAACAATTTCTTCTTCGGTGCGTGCTTTCTTTTCACTTCGTAATCAGACTTTTATCTTCGCTACTAAGGGAGAAGGGAGATTAGTTTCATAGGGGTCCGTACCAAAAAAAAAGTCAGACCATAACAAGGGAAAAGACTTGTACGATTGTTGGAATTTTCTTTCGTCTAAGTTGAGTTGTTCTTTCTTGCCCATTCTTTAGATTCTGATTCTAGGATTTATAGTCGTTGAGACCGTTAGTGGTCCACATCCCACTCCATCAGTCAGTACGTTCAGTCTGTGCGAGATCATATCCTGCCTGCTTGTCAAGGGCATTCTTCTGAGGCAAAAAGCAAAGACAAAGAGTTGGACCTTCGGAGTTCTTTCTTAGATGCTGTGTGCAGCTGCCTTCCAACTATCGGAAATCCGCTCTAGTACTGACTCTGGTACATTTCCTCGCGACTAGCAAAGTCATACTTCGTTATGTTATTCCGATCCGTCGGAATGGTTGAGTAACCTATCCTGCTGAGCTAGATCAAATCTTTCTATCACCATATTGTTTATCTCATCAAGGCATTCTCCATATCTGCTATTGTGTAGCCACGGTAGCACAACCCAGAGGAGGTAGTAAATCAAAACTCTCGCTAATAAGGCGTAAGAAGGCTTTCCATTCGATGGAATCCCGTCCTTACTTTTAAAATACGATAGCGATTCCCTTCAAGTGCTTTCTCTCTGAAAGTACTTTCCTTCTCTTTGTCAAGCAAGGAGCCTGAGGCAATGAAATTGTTAAGCAAATCCTATAGCAAATAGGGAAAGCGGGAATAGAAGCAGTCAATCAGTAGAAGGCAAGCAGCTCTCGTAAGAGGTCTTCCCTGTCTATTCTTTGAGTTCGCATTAACATTTCCCATTACTCTGTCTCGTAGGGCATTTCTTCCTTCCTCCTTAGTTTAGAAGTTGAATCACAGGGAAAGAACCCCGCTTTTCAAAAGTATAGTCCTTTATTCCCCAAATCCACATGGATTTATCCAAAAAATCCATCTTACACATCTACTCTGTTCACTAATCTTGATTCTCCTATTAAATTTCATAAACAAGTTCTTGATGAGGATAGGTGTTAGTTCAACTCCTGTCACATAGCAGCTGCTTCATTGATTGTTTGAGAACCTCACCCATCAGGGATCGGACAAGCAGGAGTTCTGGCTTCGAGATTTGCTATTCCTTAGTTCCGTGATTGAGTACCCCAAGGACTGGATAAACTCACTTTAAGTTCTTCTGTAAGAAAGATTGTTTTTCCTTCAATACAACTGCTACAAAAGGAAGAATAACGATTGGCACTGCGCCTCTCTACCAAATAGAACTGGATGATTACCCTGTTGGCCAGATTACCTTGGTTTCCCATTGAATACAAGACTATGATTGATGATTCCCTCAATCTCACTCGAGATGAGCCACCTATAGCCATTAAAGATAGGATGACAACTAGACGAGTGACCTAGCAAGGTTAGAAGTGATAGTAGTCGAAAGATTGAAACTGTATACTTGGCGATGATGAGACAGTCTGACTCAAATGCTTGATGCCAGGAAGGAGATGCTTAGAACATCAAGACCCTTGAGCACAATAGGTGACTTTCTGGCTCGGAAGGCTTTTCTTTATATTTATTACTCTAGCTCG